CACCTGGGGTAATACATGAAGCACACAGTAGCTAGTTAAGTACATGATAGCGATTGTTTTTTGAATTAATCCCAGGGGTCTACCCACACAACTGTGGAAAATCAACAAAAGAAAATGAATGGAAGTCCAGACTAGTCCATCAAGTCCTTCCAGACCCCAGATGAAGCCAAATGTTCACGCATGAAAAAGTCGATTATGAAGAGTGCACAATGTTCAAAACTATGGTTACCACAGGAAGAATTGTCTAATATGATATAGTTATTATATAATTATCAGTCCATCTTCTCCTCATATAAAACTGCTGTTCATATATAACAGCCATTTTAATCAATACTTCTGAAAGGTATCTCTACAAACCCTTTTCATTCCTTTTCCATTTCATACATTTCTTTTACAAGGCCAGCCACATTCTCAAATTTAGTGTCTTTAATTTATGATACTATATCTGAGCAGTAAGATTGGACTGCTGGGCATTTCCAAAATATATGATAGTGGTCAGCCAATTTATAATTACATTGTCAAATCCATGAAAATTCTCTCCACAGGCTACAACTGGAGGTGCTGACATTTATTTCACATATATTTTAGCAATCCTCATTTGTTAGTGTTATATTTGCTTCCTTCTCCCATTTAACTTTGAAATATAAGGTGAAGTGTTTCCTGAGAAATTGCATACACTAATACATTGTAGATACCAGATTGTTGTGGATGTTGTCCCTGTCGGTATCAATGAAAATAATTGAAATCTGTTAATGACATGCTCGATCTTGACAGGATTGGGATTCCTCCACTGTGAGGACAGTGCGACTCAAGAAACGAGAAAAAAGGGTGTGTTACTTCTGCTCTTTCAAATTTGAGAAGTGATGACATTGTTTTATATGTAATGGAAACGAGAGTGTTAAAGTTCCGTTTTGATTTTAGCGCTCCTCGAGAAATCATGTTGATGGTCCTCCAGTTACCTCCAAAAGGTCTCGATCAACAGGAAAAACTTCAGAGATGGTAGGTTATTTATTTAGCTCTGGATATTGCTTTCATATATCATACATGATCTTAATCATTCATCGTTTTTGTTAGCTTTGGCAACCAAATGCTGATGGCAGATTGCAGCCAAGTCTTGCAGCTCATTGCTGTGCCCTGATGTAGTTTGGCTGTATTTGGTTATTCTGACTGTTCTTATGTATTGTGACAGGGAAATGAGGCCATTGTGACAAAGACCACAGTGACTGTTCCTGCAAATGGAGGATCTGTTGAGGCAGTTTCTACCATTGAGAC